GTAAGGGTTCTTTTGGGAGGGAAAAAATGAAAATGCCTTAATTGCTGTAATACAATTCACTGTTACACTTTCTTTTCTTTTTTTACATGTGAATAAAAATATTAAAAAAAGAAAAGAAAAAAAAAAGAATTAAGCTTTAGCATTCAGGGGAAAATAGGTAAACTGCTGTTTTCGAATGCCATGTATTTAAATCGGTAGGCTTGAAAATGATTATCGACAAACTAAATTGATCGCGAGATGCATCAGGAGCTGGGTGATCTTTTATTGTAAGCGTACAAACAAAACTGTTATATCTAACATTGGAAAGTTTATTGGAGGAAACTGAGTAGAGTGAGTGAGCTGAGGCTTTCAGCTACATAAACTGAATGAATAGAATAAATGTTCCTGTTGGATTGCACTAATCTCCTTTAGTAAAGCCAAGAAGGATAACAATGCTGCAGAGCTGCCAGCCTGGACTGTTTTCCAAACCATATTGGTGGCACAGCTAGTGTTGCATGCACAGCTATAGTCAAACAAGTAAATAAACACAAATAAAGATTAACTAAAAGCGCTTTTCCTCTCAGACCCTGCTGTCCTGTGGCCCGACGAGACTGATGTGGTTAGAAGAGAAAAGACACTGAGAGACATCTGCACTCAAGCAGGGGTTGCTCTTGTAATGACCTTCCCATACAATGCCTATTCATTTCTGACTAAAACTTGATCCCTGAAAGTGAAATACATTACATGTACCATAAAATAATTTAAACCAGTGTCTTTCTTAGAATTCGGTAGAATGAGGATCAGAATAACATCAATTGCTTAACTCGAACTAAGAAATGTACACTAATATCAGAGTTGTATTTATCACCAAACAACTGTTTCTACTGTTGTAAATTAAATTAAATGCACCTGTGTACATTTAATTTCTCCTGAGCTTGGTATCAGGTATTTAATTTACACGGCTTTTGTCTGTTATATCATCCCTAATCTGAGACTAATTGTCATCCTAAACTGTAACCTTGTTGTTCAAAATACCAGCTTTTGAGGAGCCTGTGCAACTGAAAATGAAAGCATCAGATGAAAATAAATATATTTGTATTAGTTTATTGACAGTCCTTCCTTCTGGTATGTTTTCAACAAGTGTCATTATGCTTTAACAGCTTCCTCTGTGTATACTTAAAGCTCAGAAAGCTTGTGGTTATGCAACACATCATCCTCCTAACCAAAAACAAGGACACAACACGCAGACTGTGCTCATTGCCTCCTCCTTGTTCCACTCCCTCTCTTAATCCCTTTATCATCATCTCCCTAATCTCCCTCCTACTCTTACCTCACTTTCAGCTGCAAAGTCAATAGGTGATGCTCTTAGTCCAGACAACTTTTGAGGGGCCTGCAGTCAAATATACCTAGAGAATTGAAACTGCATACTGAGGAACATTATGTGAACTCGTTGCTCTTTCTCAATTAGCTTCTAATCACGAGGGATACAAGGAGATGCCATTTTCTTTCTTGCAAAGCTAGATTGGGTAAAGTTAATTTAAATGTCACACTTTTTTTAATGTGCCTTTTTCACTGGTTTGAAGAACACCAGAGTAAGTTGTTAAAGGTGATGTGATTGGTTAATTATTTCAAATGTATGCCCTAGTATTATTTATTAAATGTTTATTATAGGGATTGACATGAAAACGAATGCTAAGCATCACAGCATGTTTTAGCCTGAGCTCATTTGTAATGCCATCCCGTTATGTGCCTTTAAAAATACATAGCACTGAACGAAAGTACACAAGAGAACAAAACACAACAACTCAACAAGAACATTTAAGGACAAAAACAATGAGTGACTGGTGCCAGGAGCTCAGAGACAAAAGAGAAAGCAGCTCTGCATGCTCTCAACACAAGACCTTGTAAGGTAGACGTTTTTCATCCTCTCTCTAGGTTGTGTAAATATGGGCTCCTTCACCAAACTATGTCATCTGCTCACACACGCACTCTCTCCCTCTCCTTGACCTCAATGTTATGGGGTTACACACACACAATGGTTCTAGTCAGGTCGAGCCAACCAGCTCTCCAGCTAATTCCAGTAGCTACAGTCAGTCTCCAGCGTGCATGGAGCATTAACCACATGGAGGGGAGGGGGGGGGTCGATATGTGTTATCCCAAAACTTGGACTCCTGCCCACAGAGTTGGAGGGAGATTTGTTTTCTGGCTGACTAAAAACATGAATCATTCTGTGGATCTGTTTTAGAGAGCATGCATGAAGATATATAACGTTTTGATGGACAGAAATGTCACAAAATGAAACCTATTGAGATGACAATAGATGTATCAATAGAACTGGAAATTGGTGCATAAAAGAAAAATGCAACTTGGAACAAAATCCATCCCCTGACTCGGCAGTTCCCTCAGCGGTGGGATTTTTCCCACCTCTTACATGTTACTGTTTTGTTCACACTTACAGCTCTCACAGCCTTGTTTCCATTCAACACGCCTTTGACATGTCTGCTGAATGTGTAAATAAGAAACTGTCTGCTAAAAAGTTTGAAAAATCAACATAACAGGTGATGAAATGTCATTGTTGTCTTGTTGAAATATTGCTTATAGGCAGGGCTGCACATAACTGGTGCGCAGGTGCGCATGCGCACCTCGGCCAAAAAAAGAGCACCGGGTCATTTGAAAAAAGGCGCATTTGCGTACCAACATTGAGAGAGAGGGAGAGAGAAGGGAGAAGAGAAAAGAGAGGAGAGAGGAGAGAGAGAAAGATATTTGCGAGTTGCATATGAACTCAGGGCCGGCCCTGAAACGGCCCTAAACGCAGACTCAACCAGAGAGAAAGTAGTAGGCCTACATCATCAGCTACCATGTCTGACAGAGAGGAAGACAGTGAGGAGAACAGTCAGGAGGGTAGTGATGACAGCTTGTAGGATTACTGCTCGTGCTAATGTTGTCTTGTGTTCGCCTCTGCATGTGTGTTCTGTGTTCACCTCTGTGTGTTCTGTGTCGTGTGTCTGACAAATAAAGACCGGTTTATTTATTTCATTTTAAGGATGAGCACCAAGCAACATCTCCAGGTGCTCCTTTGAGAACCAGGGCAAAAAAGTTATGTGCACCCCTGCTTATAGGTCTGTTCCCATAATAGATGCAGACCTGTTAGTGTTGTGATAGTAATGCTCAACAATGGCTGTTACCTGAACATAACATCTGCTAATACAACAAATTGCTATGAAATTCAAAGATGTTGCACTCGGCTTTACTGTGTGCAATCTACTTAATAATTCATCACTCCTCTCCACTCTTCAATCCTCTCTCCGAATGTTAAGGTCAGATTGATTAGCAGTCAATTAACCGAACCCTAAAAGACTGCATCATTGGATAAACTCTCCACATCAGCGTAAATCTCATCAAGACACCAAATTCAGTGCTCTGTTTATTTATTTTAGTGGACTAATCTGTAGCATCTGTACCTCTCAGTGAATCTGAAATCTACTAAGACGGGCTCAGACACATGATCTAAAAAAAGAGTAGGGCAGCTTAATCGGTGCTAAAAATAGAACAAAAACATTCAACAACGGTCTGATACCACAACAGGAGACAAGCCTGATGAAAAGAAAGTGTTCCTTGATTTTTTTTTTATGGGATTGTTTTTATGAATAACACCGGTATCTCTTTTAGGCCCATTGAGACTTTTGTTGCTGTAACATATTGGATGTTTCTTTAACACACAGATCATACTGTCGTTTGTTTATCTAAAACTGAAATTGAAACGGAACATTTTAATTTAAAAGCCTTTCTCCCTGTGACGACTCATCCTGGGTGAGCCAGTCGTGACTCACGGTGGTCACAGAGCGTCCTGCCACTCATGTCGCCGTGGTTATGTAAACGAGGAGATCTCAATATGCCACTGAGGGGGGAGAAGAGATTTGGAGAGAAAGGAAAAGAAAGAGAGAGGGGGAATGCATGGGAAGTGACTTTGAATTATAAACAAGGTTACGGCTGTTTCAGCCTTTTATCGCTCTCTCTCTCTCTCCCCCTTCTCACTCATGTTCTTCCCCTTCTTCTCTCCCTCCTCTGCTCCTTTTCACACCCTCTCCCCTAAGGCCTTCAATGTACTCCAGACGAAATTGGACTTGGCAAGGTGCAAATGACAGTACGCACACTGACTGGAGGACTGTCTAAGAGTGTGTGTGTGTGTGTGTGTGTGTGTGTGTGTGTGTGTGTGTGTGTGTGTGTGTGTGTGTGTGTGTGTGTGTGTGTGTGTGTGTGTGTGTGTGTGTGTGTATTCTAGCTAATCTCCAGGCAGATCCAGTTGAAGTCCATCTGAACAAAGTGAACAGGAGGTGGGTAACATCGAGCTGCCAAGGTGTCCTCTTAAATGCCAGGACAACGTCGTCAGGACAACATGACTCCTTGTTCCCGCTCACAAACTATGATAACAACTACAGGCACTATTTACAGGGATGATAGAAATGTACTTTGGTTGTGCCTTCTCCAGCAGTTACTGGTGGCGGCTTCTCCACTGTGAGGATCCTTTTTTAAATAATAATATTTACAAAATACCCAGCTTGTTGACTGTTTGTCTGACAAAACAAGAAATGTAAAGATGTCCCTTGGACATAAGGAAATTGTGACTATTTTTGGAACGTTAACACAAAAATCTTCAACAACTACAGCTCAGGCTCATATAAACTGGCTTATTCGGCAATTCTCATATTAGCAATAAGGGAAGAGAGTATTGCTTTTTTTTTTATCCTGGTGGAATGTCAGGAAGTAATAAAGGTATGAGAAAATACCATAGACTGTGTACATACCGCCCAAGCCTGCTGCTAAGTAACAATGAAATGCTCTGCTTTGTTTTGGGTAGTCAGAGGTAAGGTGGATAACAGGATAAAAAGCGAGAACAGTAGCAGGTGACCAGAGAGATTTTTCTTCTGGCATTTACTGCTTTACTGTGTTTTTAAAGTGGTGGACCTGGGTTTTTATGTAAATACAGAGTGTTTCTTGTGAATCTGTGCCTATGGACTCACCTATTTGCAGCAGGACAGGTGTCACCAGTGCCGTCTCCATAGCGTAGCAGAACTCCCGGCCGAACATCACAGCACCGTGCATCACCCATCTCTTTAAGGGTATGCGTGCGACCGATGTCTCGCTCACTGACTCCTCCCCTCCTCGACCTCCCGATCCATCCGTCTCGCCTCCTGTTCCTCCTTTCTCCTCGTCCGCACCTGATGCCTTGGAGTTTTGGGCATTTGCGCCGCCCACCAGAGATTCGACCTGCGTAGCGTCAGCCTCTGTGTTCTGGGGAGGCATGGTGGAGGGCATGCACGCAACAAGGGAAGACGTGCACCCGCTCTAACACGTTGACAAATCTGAGAACAATTACCTATAGCTACCAAAAAACAATACTGTTTCCTCAAACTAGGAATTTCAAGTCACTTGATACTTTAAAGCTAGCAGTGACTTAATTACAATCTTTACAAGCTACAAACTGCAGCATGTGCTCATAACTTGCTGGTTGTATTGGCCTGGTAGTTACATCTATCGCTGCTTTAAACACTGGAATAAAAAAAAAAAAAACCTGTAACAGATAGTGTCCCAGTATGCGAGGTAATAAAATGTAAATCTTGGGTCGAGCCAAAACTGAAAAAGGCTTTGGATACTATGTAAATAAAGGAAAAAACAGATCTAGTACACTTTTTCAGCAATCAGTTGTCCTCTTAACAAGTTGTCCTCCCAAAACACTGCAGCTTCAAATTCAACACGTGGTAATCGTCCGCTCAGCTTCTTGTATTGTCCAATCGTGGAAAAATATAACAAAATCAGCTTTCAAAGATCCACAAAAATAAAAGGAAGCAATTGAATTTTCACAGGAAGAGTGTGCGATACATTCCAAGAGTGGGCATTTGATTTTTTTCTTTGTTTGTCAGGTGTGTTTGTGTGTGTATGCGTGAGTGTGTATATGGGTGTTTGTGTATGTGTGTGTGTGTGGTGTGCGTTTATGGCTTTTTTGTCATTGAGGTTTCTCCCTCAATTTCTTATTGTCTATTACTAGATGTAAAAATCCATTTAGAAGACCATTCAGTCAGGTCTAGTGTCATTTTGTGTATAGAGGGCTGAATGGAGGTCTGGATGACGGAGTTTGTGGGGGCGAGGAAGAGGCTGCGGGGGGAAGGGGGGGGGAGGAGGGCAGGCAGCAAAGGCAGTCGGAGCTCCTCTGAAAATCCCCATCGATTGGCCGATCAATCTATTGGAAAACACCATCAGGACCACAACCAGCAGGTGGAGAAGAGAAGAGAATAGCCACAACGCAGGCGTCCCATTGGTCAGGAGGAGAGATGACCAGTGATGAGTTGAGAGGGGAAGAAGACAAAAACAAAAAAATATCAGTTAGTGACAGCAGTATAACTTTTACAACATGCATTGACAAGAGCATGTGAGCTTTTCAGCATCAAAAGAAAAATAAGTACTGTAATTTTCTCAGGTGTGTCAAACTAATAATAGTCAAAAGAAGAGCACTACAGTATGTCAACTGAAACTATAAGAAAGAAGAAGAGGTAAAGGTACAGAAGCCACTACTGGTCTAGGAGTTAAGCACGTAAAATCATGACAAACATACACTTTTATTTAATGTTCTTAACCCTTCATTTCTTTATCAATGCTGCCTGAGGAACATATCTCAAAACATGATGAAATCCTGAATAGTAGCATGCCCAAGCCCTTTTTTTGTTTATTAAGCTGTATTTTGTAGTTATTCACATATTTAACATACCATTAAAAGCTTGCATTCTTTTTACAACGTACAAGTAATATAAAACCTGTTTAAGCCAAAGCTATTTGGTTACAAAACACTATAAGGGCTAAAGAGAACATTTACATTTGTGTTATTTGACCAAAACAAACCCAATTAGGATCAATTTCTTTTTTTGCTGATATCACAACTCAAAAGACACACACTCTCCTATGAAAAGGGTCCATTTTTAAAAGAGTGTAATTGGTTTGAGCACATGATTCATCCTGGCAGACACTCGGGCAGTCTTTCAAACTGGATGGGGAGGATGAAAGCATGCGTTTTATGTGCTGAACGTCTTCAAATTGAGCTATACTCTGTTTCAAACAGAGGGCTTGTGTGTGTTCGGTGAGAAGAAATGAGAGATATGTGGACAGAGAAAAAAGAGAAAGAGAGGAGAATGAGGCCATAAGCTCATAACACGCCTCATAGAGAGAAAGAGAAAAAGAGACTGCATGTATGTTCAATACAGTTTCCTACAGAGTTAAATTCCAAAGTGTGTGTTTTTGTGTCCAGCACTGGATTAAACCCGGGGAGACTGCATGTTTCATCACACCCAACACACACTAATGATTGCCAGGTGAACAACTCATACACACATCATATAACAGTGCTAAGGCCCTCATTATAGGAGGAGATTGAGACAGAAAAGAGGGAAAGAGATGAGGAAAAGAAGGAAGGGTGGTTTGAACAGGTGGAAGGTGGGAGGATCAAGAGATGCAGGGAGTGTGTTCAGGCAGAGGAAGAGAAAGAAGGATGAAGAGCGAAATGAGGCAGACGGACAGTGACACAGAAGAGGTAGAACATATTTGTCCCTCAGCCCCTTTTCTTACTTTCTCTGGTTCCTCTCTCCTCTCCATTTTCAGTCCTCTCACATGTCCCTATTAACATTCATGATGCACTCAAGATGCTCATGAATATTGGATTCTCACATACATCCCCTGACCTCACACACTGCAGCAGATTGCATAACTAGCCCCTCTCCTCTTTACAGACACATAAACACAAACAAATACGCACTAATTAAACATCTCAATTAGGTCCAAATTAGAGGACGACCACAGAAGAAAAGCCACAACCTCCATTAACATCTCCTACACTGAAAACCAGATCTGGTTAACCAGCGTCTCAAAATATTCCAGTCTGATGGGAAGTGTTGGGAATGATGGGAACATCCAGTAAGGGTTGGGATGCTAGAATGATGGTCTAGTCTTGGTTAGCAGTCACAGACTTATAAAAGAAGTGGACGTAACCACCTTGACGTCACTGTTTGGTTTGTGGACTACCACGTTGACACCTCAAGTTTGTCATTTTGGCATTGGACGTTTTCATTTATAACATGCTTTTTTTGTGTAATTGACTCTAAATGGGATTATAATTTACAAAACAAAAATCAGCGATTGAGACCATGAACTTTAGGTAAACAATCATGCAGAGTAGTATGGTCATTTGCTTATAGACTTGTATACATTCAGGCTTCTTTTTGCAACAACACCTTAATTATTATTTTTGTTCAGGTTTAATGCATTTCTGAGTAAGCCTCACTTTTAAGAGCCGTGTGCCACTTGTCAGCTCGTCGAATAGTATGCACATCAGTGTTTGACAAACAATATGCAGAGGGAACTCTCAATTTCGAAAAGGTGATCATCCATAACTTTCAGATGATAAAGATTTGACACCAACAAAAGATATTCTGTCAACCGTCATCTACAGTATTAGACAAGGAAAATCCTCACAATGCTGTCATTTCTGTCATTCCAATAGTTGATTAAATGACTTTTTGTTATATTATAGTCATACAATCTGTTCCCACAACTGATTTTCGCACAGTGAAAACAGCCGTAACAGAGATTATATAGATAATGATATTGAGATTCACTGTGATCCCGACAAAGTTACATGTCTCTGCAACTGATGTTATGGGAACCAATGGGCTAAAATATGTGAAGCAACAGTGTGGTTTTCTAACATACTGGATGTGGCTGATCATTGTGAAATTAAATATAATTGAGGTGAGGAAACTTGTGCTTGACAACTATACAAATCCAACCCATCAATTTTCAGTTTTGAGTACTTGGGTTTGGCGCTATTGTTCTGGATGTAAAGTTGTGTCATGTAAGTGATGTTGGTGGATCTGTGGTTATACAACCAAACATGTGTCATTTGTTGTGTGACAATGAAAATAAAATAACAAGCAAGACAACAGAAAAGAACAAGTTAAGGTGCCAATATAAATATGTCTCTGTGACAGCACTGTCTGTCCTGCAACTCATTTTTAATCCTACAAAAACACACACATAAAACATTAATGCTCAGTGTTCCTATTGTGTTTGAGCATGTGTGTGTCAGCTTTTCTCAGGGCCAAAATTAAAAGAATGTGCAGTTTGAGGGTTATTTAGGATGAAAAGGTGAGAGATGAAGAGAACTGAGAGGGAGATTCGGGGAAGCATGATAACATAAGAAAGAGCAATAAAATAGTCTTATAAAGTTAAATCTGTCATATTTCTTCCTTAGATGGACCAACAAAGAGACACATACAGAAGACAAAATGGAAAACAAGTATGAAAGTAGATGCCTGTTTAGTACAACGTTGGGGAAAATGTAAGTTGAGTCAGTTGTTTCCCGTGTCTTGCATTTATACACACACACAAACAAGCTTTTTGAATCACACGCTAAGCACACGTAACCCAGGTCTATTTTGGTGAGTGTTTATTCTGGTGCGACAGACCAGATTCCATGCAACACAGGAATGAAATCAGGGCAACTTGCTCTTTTCTCACTTCATATAGCTTCTCCATTTCCCTGCTTCTTCTTGAGTCTACTCTCTGTTTCTCTTACATGTAACAGATAACATGATAAAATAGAAATGTCTACAATCCTGATCATGTACGGGACATAGTGTCAATCTGTAAAAAGGCGGTGACGTGCATTGTAAAATGCTTTGCATGTTTTCCGTGATGTTATGTAACCCTGTAAACCCGTTCCTGCGGAGCAAGTGGACCCTGCTGGAGAATAACAAGGTTTATCTGCTGACATGGCGTTTTTCTTGTTGATGTCAACCGACTGATGTATCAGTTTAGCCTAAAAGTAGTCCCACAATAACACAACACCGCAGAAGACGTTAAATAATAGGGAACTAGAGAGTTGTTATAAATTCTTAAGCCCTGGAGCTCTCCAACCCATACATCTGAGGGTCTTATAATACAGACCCAACTCTAGAAATACATGTTTGCATCTGACTCAACTCAATATGTGGAAGAGGACATTGAGTGACTGATCCGTTAACATTTCAGAAACGTTTTTTTGTTTGCTTTCAGTCAACTAAGAAATCAGTCAATCATCAGAACATATATTTTAATAGTTGTTTTGAGCGATAATGTACATGAACACTAAACAAACATATTGCAAAACATTCCTAGCACTGACCCATATAGAGCTGGATATGCATTATCAACCTGAAGATCTTAGGATCAAGTTCACACTGCTGCGGCCTATGGATGTTTTGTGTGCACTTCTGACACGCACAACCACTGAC